CCGGGGCACAAACCTGTGTCCCCTGCATCGGCAGGCGGACTCTCAACCACTGCGCCACCAGGGAAGCCCTATCACAATGTTTTTAAGATTCATCCTTGTAGCATGTAGCAGTACTTGTACTCGTTTTGTATTATTGAGCTGTAAGAACTTTTTATATGTTTTGGAAACAAATCCCTTATCAGGTAGAATTTACAAACATTTTCTCCCATTCCATGGGTTGTCTTTATACTCTGTTGGTGGTCCTTTACAGAAAAGCTTTCAAATTTCATAAAGTTTGGTTTATTTTATTGTTTTTGGTGTCAAACCTAAGAAACCATTGCCAGATCTTCAAAAAGTTTTATAGTTTCAGCTCTTACCTTTTATCCGTTTTGAATTGATTTTTGTATCTATTGTGAGGTAGTGGGCAGTTTTATTTTTTTTTTGATTGTGGATATCCAGTAGTCCCAGCACCATTTGTGAAAGACTTTTCCCCATTGAATGGTCTTTGCCCCCTTTTTGAAAATAGTTACCATAAATGTATATTTACTTTTGGACTCTTCAGTTCCATGTCTATGCTTCCGCCAGTGAAACATTATTCTGATTTCTGTTGCTTTGTACTTTTTATAGATTTTAGTTTTTAATTACTTAATGTGAATGCTTCACCTTTGTTCTTTTTCAAGATTGATTTTGGCTACTTTGGGTTCCTAGAGTTTCAGTGTGAGTTTTAGGATCAGTTTCTATGGAGATACCAGCTAGGATTCTTTTAGGGGTTGTGTTAAATCTGTAGATTAATTTGGAGAGTTGCCACCTTAATATTTACTGGTCCATGAATTTGGAATGTTTCTATTTATTTTAATTTCTTTAAATAACTCCATTTTCATTTTCAAAAATTTATTTTCAGTTGTAAAAAGCATAACACCATATTTCCCATCTTAACTATTTTTTAAGTGTGCAGTTCAGTAGCGTTAATCATAATCACATTGTTGTGTAACATCTCAAGCTCATCTAGTTACACTGAAAACCGTAACCGTTGAACAAAAAGTCCCCATTTCCACCTCTCCCCTGCCAGCCACCAATCTACTTTTGGTTTCTATAAAGACTGATTCCTTTAGATACCTCATATAAGTGGAATCATACAGTATTTGTCTTTTTGTAACTGTTCTTTCACTTAGCATCATGTTCTTAAGGTTCATCCATGTGCTACATTTGAGGATTTCCCTAAGACTGCATATTCCCTGATATATATACGTATATGACATTTCCCCTACAATTTGTTTATGAACATTTGGGTTGCTTCTTTTTTGGGGGTGGGGGGCGGGTTGGCTCACACCGTGCTGCATGTGGGATCTCTTAGTTCCCCAACCTGTGCCCCGCTGCAGTGGAAGTGCGGAGTCCTGACCACTGGACTGCCAGGGAATTCCCTGGGTTGCTTCTACCACTTGGTAATTGTGAATAATGTTGCAGTGAAAATGAATTTGTGTTCAAGATTGTGCTCTCAGTTCTTTTGTCAACCCACAAAAGTTTGAAAGCTCTTCATGCTTTGAATGACTAAACTTGTAGGTTCATCCACTTTCTGGATAAGCTTTCTAGATGTGTTGAGTGCATTGAATCAGTAATAAGGGCTTATTTCATTTGTAGTGATGATGATGATGACTTTGATGATGAGGAAGCTGAAGAAAAAGCTCCAGTAAAGAAAGTAAGTAAGATACAGTAGTATATCAGAAATAGCTAATAACAAAATGATGGGAATTTTTGCCATTGGCTTGTTTTGTGGTTATTGAAAGTTGTCTTAGGAGAAGATGATCTCATACTTCAAATTTTTCTTGAGTAGGGCTATCCTGGAAACTTTTCTAATAGTGGAAAATTACCTATTTTCTTTATATAGCCTTCTGTCTGTTTGTTAACCCTTTTGTAACCTTTTGTCAAAATGATTGTTTCTCTTAGCCTGACTGCTGCTTTTGCCATGGTTTGGGGCAGTTTTATTTGTACTAATATGTCTTATGTAGGGAGGGGCATTGACTAAGATTAATTTCTAATTGCAGTCTGTACGAGATACTCCAGCCAAAAATGCACAAAAGTCAAACCAGAATGGAAAAGACTCAAAACCATCAACACCAAGATCAAAAGTAAGTGGTAACATACAAATACAAGCTCCATTGAAGTAGTTAGGTTCTTCTGTGGAAGAATCTACTTTTAAAAATTTGATAGGTCTTTGGAGAACGCCTGTAGCTGGTGTCGAAGAGCTAAGATGTGATTATTTTATTGGTAATCACTGTCATATAGTTAGACAGTTGACCCTTGAACAACATAGGTTTAAATTGCATGGGTCCATTTATCACGGTTTTTTTTTTTTTGTAAATGCTACAGTACTGCATATCCACGTTTGGTTGAATCTGGATGCAGAGGAACCACAGATGTGGAGGGCCGACAAGTTATACACAGATTTTTGGCCACGTGGAGGGCTGGCGTCACCTCTTGACATTCAAGGGTCAACTGTATATTGCCGAGGCTTTCTAATGGGGGAGAAAGCCGACAGAAAGATTTTTATTGTGTTACAAACAGTTGTGTCATGTAAGGGTTCTTGCTTGTTGAAAGGTATGTTTATCGCATAGTGCAGTTTCTCTGGTGCTGGCCGCTTGTTGGGAGATTATCATTTAAATGCTATGGAATGGGCCCCAGGCATTAAGCTGCGTTAACTTTGTTGCTTCATTCTTGGGGACCTTCTGGTTTCTTTTTTTGATGATGTACTTTAAGTGTAGAACTGACCTTGTGTTGAATATAAATGCAGGCTCAAACTATTTCCTATTCCTTTAAGCAATAATTTAAAAATAATTGTTGAGACACAAATTCATTTAACTCAATTCTGGTGTATACTTGTTTTTACAAAGGACTGTAAGAATTTTATTGAGAAAATCCAGGTAGGGTGGGTCTTAAGAGTTCTTATGATGTTAAAATTCGCCTTTTTTTCCCAGGGTCAAGAATCCTTCAAAAAACAGGAAAAAACTCCTAAAACACCGAAAGGACCTAGCTCTGTAGAAGACATTAAAGCAAAAATGCAAGCAAGTATAGAAAAAGTGAGTAAAATTGTCTTCCTTAAAGGAACTAAATTGGTAATTTTACGTTTCTGGGGTTTGGAACAGGACTCTTCCTCATTTTTTATAGTTAATATACCTGCCCTTTTGTGGTGTGAAATTATCTCAAAAATGGATTACTAGTTATATTAATTTATAGTCTCTGTTGATATTTTTGCATATTTGAAGTTACATATGCTTTATTTTCCATTATAAAAGGAATACAAGTAAGTTGATTGTAAGATATATTCTTACCATAGATGTTAAAATGAGAGCATTTCCCTTCACCTGTTCTGGTCATGAGATGCCACAGTACCAGCAGAGGGCGTATGAGTCTTCTAAAATTGCAAACAGCTGGAAAAGTAGTCTTTGGCCGCTTGGTGTTGTAGTTTTTAAAAAAATTACTCGTGTTTGACTGTAGTCAGAAACATTCTCCAACAAATTGAGTCATTTCTGTCTGCCGTTTGCACCAAGATGTCACCAGGCAATACGTGTGATAATATCTTGAATTTTTGAGTGACTAACGTGTTTACATTTAGTCTCCTTTTGTCTTACTGGAAATGTGTGAGAAGAGGATTAGCTTTTGTCCTACTTGCCTTGCTTGATTTGGGGTTGGGGGGATGCACTTAGTAAACTTTAGTGAACTCTGGAGTATGGAGTAATTGGTTTTAATGCCTTGAAACACATTTGAGAGAAACTTTAAAATTCTGTGAATATTCTCAGACCCCAATTGTTGAGAATAAATGTGGGATGGTGAGGAAAAGTTACTGACTCCCTTTCCCTATGTTTTTTCTGTGCTCTCTAGGTTCTACATGGCTTCGTAGATTTCCTTTCATTGTGCAGTTATGAGTCAGTTGGAAAACTAACATTTTAGAACCAGAATGTATTTCTTGATTTTGCTTTAGTACTACTGTAAACCTCTTAGCCTTCCTGGTATCGCTGCTTTATTTTTATCCCTTGCGTACCGTTCTAAAATGACATTTTAGATACCCCTCCCCCTAATTTTAATATGGTCCTATCTCCTTGGTTTAATTGCAGGCGCATTGAACAATCCTGGGCACTACTGGTAAATTAAGCCCAAAGATGGGGAGAGAGGAAAAGGAGAGACAAATGTAGTCCAAACTGAGTATCATCAACAATCCAGACTGAAGTCTTCTATTTTAACTCAATCCCCTTACCTGATTTGCCACCCACCCATGCCCCCCCTTCCAGGCTGGAAGCAATCTCTTGATCTCCTAAAACACTTTCTTTTGACTGCTGTGATTCAATGAACCTTACACTTTGCTTTCTGTTACTTGTGCATTTGCCTCACCTCTTTGACCATATTTTAATCACCTTTGTATCTCCCTAGCTGCTCAATAAATATTTGAATCAAATAAGAATGTATGTGACAATAATTTAAAAGTGTAAATTATAGTGAGGTTTATTTTCTAGGTGATGAGGCAGTTAAGTATCTTACACCATACCTGAAGCCTTCTTGATCTTTTTAAAATGCACAGAAGATTCAGGTTACAAGGAAAATCAAAATTTAGTTATCAAAATAGGAAACAAAAGTGAAAAAATTAGTGCGTTAAGATAATTCCAGAGCAGAGATAAATATAAACATTTCAAGATTTTGGAAAATATTTGGTGACATATACTTTGAAAATAATTTGGTGTTACTACTATTGTGCTTTCTTCTCTGTGTCCATAATTGAAAGGAATGGCGAATTTTAGAGTTTAGTGAAATGTATTTGGTCCTGGGTGGTAGAGGATGGTGATAAAGCTGACTTGTTAGATAAATACAGTAGGCAGTCAAGTTGATGGTTGAGTTCCTGAAGAATCACAAGCATAGCTTATACTTTGTGTTTTTAGAGTGGCTGGGTGGGGGCAGGGAATTTGAAACTTGGACAGACCTTATTCAGTATGAGAGTACTTGTGGAAGACCTAGGTCCTAATATGTTATATAAACATGTCTTTCTAGGCCTAAAAAAGGATTTATTCAGTATTAAAATGAAGGAGTTGAAGAGACAAGGAATGAATCACAATGATCCATATAATAAACAGCACTCAAATCTTTGAGGAATTTCATAACAATCTCCCTCAAAAACAGTGTTTCTATACTTACCCTTAATAATGCTTTTGTCTCAATAGGGTGGTTCCCTTCCCAAAGTGGAAGCCAAATTCATCAATTATGTGAAGAATTGTTTCCGGATGACTGACCAGGAGGTAACTGAACTTTGTTGGAGACATGATCACATCCAAAATTTTTATTGTGACTTATTATGGCTATTTGTTTAGTCTCTTTAGGTGTTGGCTTCTTTTAAAATGTTCCTAACCACAGACAATACTTCAGATTAAATACATGGAAACTCTTTAAGAATCTAGTTGGCAGAGACTGAGAAGATAACTTTTTTAGTACATTTTTCCCAGCTTTTATATAGTTGGTAAATTATCTCTTGGTTACTGAACTCAGTTTTGCTTTTGGTACTATGTTGGCTAAGGAAATGAGCTGTGGTTTTCCTTGCTGTTCCATTTGGCTACTTGGGTCAGTCTGTTCTTTGCTTTCTTGTGAGTTGGCAGAGATGATTTTCTCCATAGACATTATGGGAAGCACATTTTGCTGAAATCAACCTAAGTGTAAAATCAGTTGAGTTAGATTTTGTATTTCTTAATGTGAAGAAGGTATTTTGTCAATAGAAGAAAAGTTTTATTTTCTAAATAAGTAAATATTCTATTTATTCCAAAAATAAATTTAATTTTTTTTACTGTCTTATTTATAGTTGCTGACTCGCAGATTGTAAAGGAAAATGTAAAAGCAGTTACATAGGGTTGCTAGGCATCATGTACATACAGGACATATTCTGTGTTTAATGGTTTTTGTCAGCGCTCCCTAAGTCTCCTGTATTCAGCTTTCTTCAATAAATTTAATTTGTTATTTAGAGATCTTTTTCTACCACAATATTTAGTACTTAAATCACTTGAAATGGCAGCACTATTTTTCTCAGGTTTGAAACCCTTTCAGTGGTTTAATACTCTTTACTTGTTTATTTTGAGTTCAGCCTTCCTTGTTGTGGTTACAACATGTCCAGTTTGAATCTTTTCGATTCTTTTCGTTGCTATTCTGTTTTTGTGTATATTTGAATCCCAGAAAGCCAGTGTAAATTTTGTGAATTTTCTGTGGACATTTAGTAAACATAAAAGTCCTTTTAAAACTATGCGGTGTGTAATTGTCAGTTCAGTATTGAAAATGGTAGAAAGTGAGATATATAAACCATCATCTATAACAGGTAAGCATAAGAGATATATAATTTTTTCAGCTAATACCAGAGGAAGTGGTAAAATAAAATTTTTGATTAAGAAAAAATCAGGTGAAGATAAAGTAACTAAAGTTGCAAGGGCCTTCCAAACAGCATAACGTCAGTCTTGTAGCTGAAAATGACTGAATTCACTGCTATCAGAAATATTTTCTGACTTAAAAACTGAAAGCTGTTTTCAAGTGCCAGGATGAAATTTCTGCAATAATAAAAAATATGATATCTCAGTTTACTATTGTGAAATTATCAAAACACTGAATATGTCACATTTTTATGGCGTAGCTGCAGATGTAAGTAATCACAGTGTGTAAAATAACTTCCCATTACTTGTGCAGTTTATCTTCTGAAAGAGAGTTGTTTATGAGGATTTGGCTAATAAAATCCAGATGGAACCTGAGAGATAATAGCAAATTTTTGCAGAAATTCTTGAATTTAAAGAGTTAATGAAAAAAATTGTACTGCCTTTTGTGGAAAGACTACAGATAAAAATCTTGCTGAATGTTTGTATAAAGGTGCAAGCAGTATTTACTCAAAGTTGAAGCAAAACATGATGTATTCGAAGGTGTTTTCTGTCCCATTCAATATTCTATATAATACGTAAGTCGAGTCAAGTAGCATCTGGCTTTTTTTTTTTTTTTTTTTTTTACATTAGAGTGTCATGAAAATGTTCTTCAGTATTTGTATTCAACTTAATGATTAGCGAATGACTGATATTTGTTGACATGGTATTCAGTTCTCTTGCATTTGAAATCCAATGGCTGTGTTTAAAAACAGTATAAGAAAATCCTATTTATTTGAAGCACTGAAACACTTTGAAGCAAAGGCCCCCAAAGTTCTTTTAACTAATCCATTGAGTGAAACCTGCTTATTTAAATGTCTCTTCAGCAGTAGGACCATGTAAATTAAAAGAAGAGCAAAGTCATTGAAGTTCTCCATTGCTTTAAAAGAACTTGTTGAATCCTTTGAACAGTTGACAAAAACATCAAGACTATTTTTTTTAAGAGGCATTATTCATGAATAGGAAAAGAAGTAGATAATTAATACTGCACTTACATGATTGTCATTTGAGATGTTTTTTATCACTTGAAGATTTTGGCTCTTTTACATGGATGTTACTAAATACCAGCATGAGAACAAGTAGAATGAATTATATGTTGAAGAGGGATGTAGAAATTGATGAGGGATCTCTTTTTTTTGGTCATTGGACAATATTTTATTTTAATTTTAATTTTATTTTTTATTACTTTTTTTGTGGTACGCGAGCCTTTCACTGCTGTGGCCTCTCCCATTGCGGAGCACAGGCTCTGGATGCACAGGCTCAGCGGCCATGGCTCACGGGCCCAGCCGCTCCGCAGCATGTGGGATCTTCCCAGACTGGGGCACGAACCCATGTCCGCCGCATCCTCAGGCGACTCTCAACCATTGTGCCACCAGGGAAGCCCTGGATAATATTTTAAATCATTAGACTTGAAGAATGGAAAAGCAAGTTAGTCATGGAAGATGGTGTTCTGTGTTTCAACAAACCAGAAGAGCTTGTCTGAGTAGCTAATATGGCAGAACATGTTAAATATATATAGTGTCTCTCATAATGCTAGTATGTGTTCTCATTAATGAAATAATTCGGGTGTGACCACTGTAGAAACTTAAAATGTAAACAAAATATAAGACTAATTAAGGAATGTTATAAGCAAATTATGCAAAATAAGGAACTGTTGCGATCCCACATCATCAGGGAAATATAACTAGAGGTAAAAAAGATGTAACTTTGGTATATTTATATAGTTTATTTCAGATAAGTGTACTTAATTTTATGTGTGCCGTGTACAGGTGCATGTTTTTCTCTAAATCTGGCAGCCCGAAAGCAGGTAACATGGAGGCAACATTGGCCTAACTGGTCTTCGTTTCCTTAACTAAATATCTAAGTTGTTAAATGTATATTAGTATAAAAGTGACTTTGTGTACAAAAATCACATGATTTTATGTCTGAATCGAAGTATTTGAAATTAAATTATGCCTAAGTATAAATTTCCTTGAAATCAGTTCTTAATTATCTAGAGTGAACCTTTTTGGTGGTAGAATGAAAAATAGATATGTTGAATTGTACAGAGACTTGGTTTAATTTATTGGTGTGTATGAAGTGTTGTGGTTTTTTAACCACATTTCTTTTCTCTCTTTTTTTTTTCCAGGCTATTCAAGATCTCTGGCAGTGGAGGAAGTCTCTTTAAGAAAATAGTTTAAACAGTTTGTTAAAATTTTCTGTCTTATTTCATTTCTGTAACAGTTGATATCTGGCTGTCCTTTTTATAATGCAGAGTGAGAACTTTCCCTACCGTGTCTGATAAATGTTGTCCAGGTTCCATTGCCAAGAATGTGTTGTCCAAAATGCCTGTTTAGTTTTTAAAGATGGAACTCCACCCTTTGCTTGGTTTTAAGTATGTATGGAATGTTATGATAGGACATAGTAGTAGTGGTGGTCAGACAAATGGAAATGGTGGGGAGACAAAAATATACATGTGAAATAAACTCAGTATTTTAATACAGTAGCACTGTTTCTCTTTCTGTTATCCTCTTTATACTTTGTCAGAGAAATACATGTACATAGTAAAAGTGTCAAATAGTATTCCAAAATAATCTATTTTTCATCAAGAGGGCTTAGTGCTTTTACCTTACCACCTCTTGATAATAGTTAATTATAATCAAATGTTCATCAGACCTTCTTATCCACCTATCCTAGCCTTTTCACTCCCAAAGAAAATCTGGCATGTTAAATAGCCTGCAGCAGCCTTTCTCAACCTGGGTTCTTTATCTGAACCAGAACACAAAATTATTTCTGTGACTATTTTCTTAATTTATCCAAAATAGTACATATTTGAGATCCATGGGGGAAGTTAATTTATTGCATGTGGTGGTTATGTGAGGACATTCAGGGACTAAACCTTGGGACCCCTTCATCAGTTAGACCAAGATTCAATTGCATGATGGTCAGGGCTAGATTCCTGTTCTGCTTGTTTTGCTGTGGTATATCCTCCAGTAGTTTCCCAATAGATGGGGAAAGTATTCTGATTGTTTTTGCATACCTGAAAACATCTTGATTTTTTTTTTTTGCGGTACGCGGGCCTCTCACTGTTGCCTCTCCCGTTGCGGAGCACAGGCTCTGGACGTGCAGGCCCAGTGGCCATGGCTCACGGGCCTGCTGCTCCGTGGCATGTGGGATCTTCCCAGACCAGGGCTCGAACCCGTGTCCCCTGCATCGGCAGGCGGACTCAACCACTGGAGCCACGAGGGAAGCCCAACATCTTGATTTTTGACATCACATTATATGCTGCTGCCTTGTAAGCCGAATCTTTTTCTCTGAATTTTAGGTGTGAGCTGCCTTTTTTGGCCTAGTGTATTCCATTTTTGTGTATTCTTTGTATATGACCGGTTTTTCTGAGAGCTAATTAAGATTGCTTTATTGCTGGTGTTCTGGAATTTTATGTGTCTTGTAGGCTTGTTCCTGGGCCCTGGGTGGACTGTGGGTCTGTTCTCCAGAGATGCAGGTCTCTGGTCTGGGCCTTTTACTTGGGAGATTTCACCCTTCTGCTTAACTCCCATCCATTCTTAGGCCTTCTGTTTGATTCTCTTGGATGTTTTTCTTCATTCCTTTTTGTTTAAACTTTAGGAGAGAGACTTTATTTTCTGTCTTCAAATTTGTGTTGCTTTTACTTTTTTTAACTTGGAAATGCTCTTGCTTGGTTCTTGGGACGTAGTATGTAGAGTCTGAAGAAACTTTCTCATTCCATGCATTGTTTACTTGTTTCCCTCCCGCACCAGCCTGTTTATTTTATTTTTTATATTGATTAGGAGGGTGGTACTTGTTGACTGGGCTCTAGTTTCAGATATTTTGATGGGGGTCTGCAGATTTTAAGCCTTTCTATTTCTGGGGTGCTTTTCCAGAGTAAACTAGTTTTGGAGGGTGGGGGAAAATACCGGTGCTGTACTGTCTAGTCTAATCTCAAGTTTCCAGGTGTTGGGTTCTTCTACTCATTTACATTGTGGTTTTCTTCATTGATTATTCAGTTTCTTTTCTCCAGGCCATGTCTGTCCTTGTAGCTTATCTCTTTATGTCTTTATTTTAATGAAGGCACAGTAGGAGATGGTAAATGTTCAGTGTTCTTTGTTTTTATGTACTTCAGATATAGATCATCTACTTTAAATTGATAGAACAATCCCAAATCACTTAACCATCCTATACATTAATTTGAAAAGTTATTGGTGTTCAAATAATGCAACTACATTAAAGTTGAGTCATTCCTTCCCTAGATAGTGTTTATTATACTATGATGTAGGAGTGTGGTAATTATTAGTATTAGTCCCTTAACATGTTCAGAAGTAGAAATATACTTGCTGCATAATACTGTCTTAAACAAATAGTAAGTCTGAAATTTTTAATATTTGAGTTGCTTTGTGTAGAAGTTAAACCTTAACTTTGGTTTACCTGATGGGCACTTTTATGTGGCAGGAAACCCAAAGCAATTGGCCTTACTGGTTGTCCTGTTCCCAGCTCATTAAATAGAGCTAATCAGATCCAGATAGGGCTTCTGTTTTGGAAGCTCAGGAATTAAAGATTTCCTTGTGCCTCAGAAGTCACTAATAGTGCTAGTTATTATATATCAATCAGCTAACTAAACATGGTAGTAATCTGAAAGTTGAACTACTACTCTAGGTTTGTGACTTAGGAAATTCCTCTTTTAAAGAAACTGACTTCCTGAAAGTAAAAAGTGAGTGTCTTGAATTCAGTTTTTTTTGGGTAACTTACAGTATTTAAAAAAAATTTTTTTAATTGAAGTATAGTTGATTTACAGTGTGTTAATCTCTGCTGTACGTAAGAGTGACTCAGTTATACACATAGACATTCTTTTTTATTTTCCATTTAGTTTATCACAGGATATTGAATATAGTTTGCTGTGCTATACAGTAGGACCTTGTTGTTTATCCATCCTATATATAATAATTGACCTCTGCTAATCCCAAACTCTCTGTCCTTCCCTCCCCCCTCCCCCTCAGCAGCCACAAGTCTGTTCTCTGTGTGAGCCTGTTTCTGTTTTGTAAATAAGTTCATTTGTGTCATATTTTTGATTGCACATGTAAGTGATATCATATGGTATTTGTCTTTCTCTGTCTGACTTCACTTCGTATGATAATCTCTAGGTCCATCCATGTTGCTGCAAATGGCATTATTTCATTCCTTTTATGGCTGAGTAATATTCCATTGTATATATGAACCACATCTTTATCCATTCATCTGTTCACGAACGTTTAGGTTGCTTCCATTTCTTGGCTATTGTGAGTAGTGCTGCTGTGAACATAGGGGTGCATGTATCTTTTTGAATTATAGTTTTTTCAGGTAACTTTTTAGTTTTCTGCAGAACCTCTACACTTTTCCATAGTGGCTGCACCAATTTACATTCCCATCAACAGTGTAGGAGCGTTCCCTTTTCTTCACCCTCTCCAGCATTTGTTATTTGTAGACTTTTTTTAATGATGGCCACTGAAGTCATATTTTTATATATTTGTATTTCAATCCACTGTGTTGCATCTTTTTGGCCAACGGAATCCTTTTCGAGCTTGTTCCTACCATCACTCACTCCAGTAAGTAGTCTTTGATACGACGCTTTCTAGTGTGATAGAATGTTCCAGGCTTATCTTGAACAAGATAAACAGCTTTTCTTTCTAGACCTGGAATGATCCACTTTTCCAAGGAGCTCTGGTTCCTTATTTAAAAAGAATGGCGTTTAGAGACCGCAGCCTTGGTGGGAGTGATACTAATACTGAACCCAGTATTGTTTCGAAGACTTAACCTGGATGATCAGATCAGACCCTTTGGAAAAGCAAGGGGAACATTCTGAACACTAGGAGGGCAGAGGCACACTTGTTGGCTGTCTGCAGGAAGCTTCTTTTCATTTGGTATCTTAGTATCTTTATCACATATGGTTAGGTTGTGGGTGAGAACTTAACAGTTACCTTCAACCTCAACCAGAGGACAAAATAGGTTAATAAAGTAAGGCCATCTGGGGAGAGCAGATCAGGCTCTCGGGAGGCTTACGGGATCATGCACATGATGATAAAATGAGGTTTATAGCGGTGTGTCCAGTAAAGCTTGCCAGCGGAAGCTATTAACTGGGTGATGGGGGTGGGGTGGGGAGGTTATGTTTACATTGCCTGGGGGGGTGTTTTTCTTTGAAATTATCCAAGGAAAAAGGTTGAGGGTCACAGAAAATACCCTATTAAGGGTTAGTAGTCTGCACTGTGGAGGTGCAGGGTTAAAGTTATTTCAGAAAGTATAAGGCCACCTTCCAGCCAGATCTTAACGAAGAGCCAGTTGCTCCTTGACTCGTGAACTTGGCAGCAGACATCCCTTTTTAATCTGAAAGTTCCAAGAGCTGATTTTGCGCTACTTGGTGTCTACTTTTCTGATTAAGCTACTTTTCATCCTATTGAAGACTTGAGGTTGCATTTGTCCTATGTTCTTAGGCTGGAGGTTCTCTCATCCTTCTCCAAAATATTTGTATTCTATAGACTCCCTGAATTTTGTGATTCTTAAGATTGGAGAGAGGTGGAAAACGAGTGTCAGATTGCAGTGCTGTTAGTGTACTTTCACTTGAAAATGAGGTAGGAAGAATCTAAACATTTTAAGTACTGTGTCCCAAAGTATGTATTTAAGGCTTAGGATTAATCAGCAAGCAAAACAGGTAACTGCCCTCCAGGGCTTGCATTTCATTGGGGAAGCAGTCAACATACATTCTCAGCTGCCCTTCAGACAACCAGGAATTTTACAGATGAGAATTTGCTCAGAAAACTGAATTTGCCAGCCGAGAGAGCTAGGAATTGAGTGTAGTTGTGTCCGACTCCCAACACCAAACTAGCACATAGCCACCTGGCCCCAACTACCATACTTTGGCCTGGACTGGTAACAGCTTTTTTGCTGGCCTCCTTACTGCCACTGTTGTACCATTCCAATGTATTCTTACCAGCTGCAGTAAGCTTTAAAAACAAACTGGATTTTGACCCTTAGTTTCAAAGCCTTTGATAAATTGCCAAACAAATGGGTATATCCACACTGGGTACTACTTGGCAATAAAAAGCAACAATGATAAAAGCAACAAGGGATGAGGCTGAATTTCAAACATGCTGAGCAAAAGAAGCCAGACACAAGAGAGCACATATATGGGTCCATTTCTGTGAAACTAGAACCTAGTGCCAGCAGACTAATGGTAACTTGAGACTAGTGATGGGTGTGGTGGGAGGTTGCCTGAGAAAGGTGTTTATAGAAGTATAAACATTGTCAAGCTCCAAGCATTTAAAAGTTGTTACATAGGGGGCTTCCCTGGTGGCGCAGTGGTTGAGAGTCCGCCTGCTGATGCAGGGGACACAGGTTCGTGCCCCGGTCCAGGAAGATCCCATATGCCGCGGAGCGGCTCTGGGCCCGTGAGCCGTGGCCGCTGAGCCTGCGCGTCTGGAGCCTGTGCTCCGCAACGGGAGAGGCCACGACGGTGAGAGGCCC